CAACATCAGCAAGCCACCCCAGGGCGGATTTCCCTCCCCCGCCATTGGTCTTACCTTCCAGTTCCAGCTTGCATGGCTCTTCTCAAGGTAAGGTTTGCGCTCGGCCGAAGGGTGGGGGCCAGTGGGTGGGTGGACCATGTGGGCAGTGCAGCCTTGTGTTCCCCCGCAGCCTGGATTAATTGCTTTGTGGGGGGGGATATTTCTCTGCAGACCACCAAAATTTTCTCACAGACCACCAGTGGTCCCCAGCCCCCCCGGTTGGCGACCACTGATATAGGGCTTCCTGCTTGAGAAAGGGGTTGGACTAGAAGACCTCCAAGGTCCCTTCCCATTCTGCATTCCAAGCAAACAGCTATCAAACCTCTTCTTAAGAAAAGAACTGAACGGAGACAAATGCAACCTTGTGCATTTAGCAATCAGGGATGAAAAGGGGAAGAACAACCTCCAAATATTATTTGCAAGAAAGGGAAGATATTCTCAGTTCACCCCTGCAAGAGCAGTTGGGAGCAAAGGGAGCATGAATCAGCAAAGGGCAAAAAGGCCATTTCAGCCCCATCGCGTTTCCCAATCGCAGAAAGGGAACGCACGACTCCGACTCTCCTTTGGTGAGACTCACATCGAGTCATGGATGTTTTCAGAAGTCAGTGAAACTGGAGGAAGGCAATGAGGATGCATCAGGAGACACGCAAGGAACAAAGGGAGACAGGGAGAAAGTTTTGCTTTGTGGGGAAGACAACTGGGGGAAGAGAGACAATCAGGGGTAGGATGCAAATATTTTTACTACCGGTTCTGTGGGCATGGCTAGGTGGGAGTGGCTAGGTGGGCGTGGCCAGGCGACTGGGTGGGCGTGGCTTTTTTTGCAGAACCCCTCCCCCCATGCTCCATTTTGTTTGCCTCCTGGGCCTCAGGGAAGCCTCCTGGGCGAAGCAGTAAGACAGCGAGGGGGATCCCGGCACAGCTGATCATCAGAACAGCTGATCATCGGGAGGAAAAAAAAAAGAAGTACCTTAAGGAGTGACTGGGCATGGGAGAATGCGCTCAGTGATGTCACGCATGTGCGTGATGTTCGGCATGCGTGATAAGGACTGACTGGGAGGGGAGGGGAGGGGAAGGGGAAGGGGAGGAGTGGGCAGAGAGGGTCGGGGCCAGCCAGGGGCACGATTTGCCGGTTCTCTGAACTGTGCAGAATTGTAACATCCAGTTCGACTGAACCGGTCCGAACCGGTAGAATCCCACCCCTGGATAGGATGCTACGTTTCCAATAACTTTCAGGATAGAAGACCTGTTTATCCCAAAGCATGGTAAGATGCTAAAAGGCAGATGGTGGAGAGTGGTAATAGATAATCACTTTAAATATGAGCCAGCCGTGTGCTGCAGCTGCCAAAAAAGCCAACACAATCCTAGGTTTCATTAACAAGAGGGATAGGATCAAAATCACGTGAAGTGTTAGTACCGCTTTATAAAGCCTTAGTAAGACCACACTTAGAATACCGCATCCAGTTTTGATCTATATATAAAAAAGATGTTGAGACCTCTCACTTAAGGCATCAAAGGGCAACACAAATAGTAATGGGTGGAAGCTTTTCAAAGAGAGATATAGCCCAGAAATAAGGAGAACTTTTTTGACAGTGAAAACAATTAATCAGTGGAGTAGCTTGCCTCCCTGAGGTGAGAGTGCTCCATCAGTGGATATTTTTAAAAAAATTAGACTAGAGAACCATTTTAACTGGATGGTATAAGCCTCCTGCCTTGAGCAAGTGGTTGGACTTGGAAAAACTGCACACTGATTTTGCGTTGCATTTTCCATGTTAAGAGGATGTGATATTGGAATTCAGGGTTGCATCGCCCTTCATTATAGACTATGCCAGGAGTCGGCAACCCATGGCTCTGGAGCCGCATGTGACTCTTTCACCCCTCTGCTGAGGCTCCGTGTCGCTGGTTGGCTCCACAATTGATAGGGCTTTCGGTTGAAGGATGCCATGCTAGGAGGAGACTCTATGATGGGGGAACCAGACTTTTGGTCGGCAGAGGAAAAGACGCCACACTAAGAGGAGACTCTATGGTGTGGGGGGACAGGACTTCTGGTTGGCTCCAGAATTGAACGGGGGGGGCTTCCGGTTAGGACCTTTCTGGCTCTTTGAGTGTTTAAGATTAGCAACTTCTGGACTATGCTGTGAACTCTTGACTTTTCAAGAGCAAGAAGCACTTTTGGAATTGACATCAGACCGCAATTTGAAGGAACTTTTTAATGAAAAAACACAGAGGGAATTCTGGAGCCACGACGCAAAACTGTACCCAGAAGTGGTGGGAGGCGGAGGGGAAGCTATGACTTTTTGAAAAGCATTGAACTAGAAGACTTCATAGCTCCCTTCCAGCCAGAGGTGGTCTTCAGCAGGTTCTGGAGAACGGGTAGAGGAAATTTTGAGTAGTTTGGAGAACTGGCAAATCCCACCTCTGACTGGCCCCACCCCTATCTATTCTCTGCCTCCCATTGAGTCCCAGCTGACCGGCTCCTCCAGTCCAGTCCTCCTCTTCTTTTGTTGCCCTGCACAGGAGAACAGAGCTGGAAAGCAGGTTAGTGGGGTGGGGAGGGAATGTGGATTTTGCAGTATCCTTCCCCTGCCATGCCCACCAAGCCACGCTATGTCCACCAAGCCATGCCCACCAAGCCACGCCCACAGAACTGAAAATTTGAATCCCACCACTGCTTCCAGCCTTATGATTCTATGATTCTGTCACTTTTGAGGTCCACCTCATGGTGGCATGTCAAAAGGGAAACTTCACATAGGCTTATAGTATACCAAAGACTAGTTACAATTTTCAGTCCTGAAAATAAGCCTTTTTCTTCTGCTCAAATCCTGCCATCTTCCCAATCACATATTCCCATGAGAGGGTATCCAACATGTTTCATTTATGTTCATTAAGTGATCTTGAGGATAACAGATAACAGATAATCACAGTGGAAGGGACTTTATAGGTCATCTAGTCCAACCCCCCCCCCCCCCCCCCCCCCCG